AAAAAAAAAAAAAAAAAACAGTAGAAAGGTCTCTACACAGTGGATAAATAAGTTAATGATTAGAAAAACTACAGTGAAAGCTGACTTGCACAATTTAACCAGGCCCAGATCACTAGATTTTTTTGTTTACAATGCTATCACCACTGATTTCATCATTTACATTCATTTGTTTAGTAACTAAATTGGGCATAATATAACAGTGTTGACTTTGCCTGTGAACTTGTCTTTCTAGTGAGTTAAAAAAAGGAACCTGCCTTCGGTTTGCTGGAAGTGGAAATGAAGAGAATCGAAATAATGCATATCCTCACAAGGCAGGTTTTGCCCAACCTTCAGGTCTTTCTCTGGCCTCGGAAGATCCCTGGAGCTGCCTGTTTGTAGCAGACAGTGAGAGCAGTACGGTGAGAACCGTCTCCCTGAAGGATGGCGCCGTGAAGCACCTCGTAGGAGGAGAGAGAGATCCCATGGTAATGAAGATCACTTTCGCACGGTGCGCCCAGACACATCAAGCTTGCAATTTTCTGAATTGTGAAAAGTTAATAAAATTTAGGAGGGAGTGAGGTCTTGGGGTGTCCATAAGTTAAAATGGAAGCCAAACCAAAGGAAATGTGAATATAAAGAAACACAAGTAACAAAACCGTCTAAGAAAAGTAAACTGACTCTACCTGATTGTATATAAATGTCAAGGCTTCAGGGAGAGAGGAAGGATAAAATATTAATTACTGAGGGAGGAAGAGATGTAAATTAGATATTTGGCAGTAGGGTGGAAAGAGCACCAGATTAGTAGACTTGACCTATTCCTGAACAGATGTGTGATTATTGTAAATAAAACTACTAAGCACCACAAATCAATACAGGTTTAAAATGCTATCATTTTTATCTAGTCTGAATCAAATGCCCAGCCCTATTTATCTGAAATCAGACCTTTTCCCCCTTTAACTTAAGTAGCATATACAGCCATCTTAATTTTCACTTTATACCCTAACAAAGCACTGTAAAAATTTTAACACATGCTATTTCTTTCCTTTGAAAAAAAATAAAAGAACTTATTTGCTTTTGGTGATGTTGATGGAGTAGGAATCAATGCAAAGCTTCAGCACCCACTTGGAGTAACTTGGGACAAGAAAAGGAATTTACTGTACGTGGCAGACTCTTATAATCACAAGGTGAGTCTTGACAAAATTATATAGTCCCCTGCTTTTCATTTGTCGTATTTAAAATGGTGAAAGATCTGTGAGCCTCCTACAGCTGCCACTCTAAGATACGGAGAGAAATAACAGTCTTTGACAGCTATATATAAGCCTTTTCTGTTCTTTTCTTGGTCCTTTCTTTGCAAAGAGGAAATGATGGTACTCTGACCTGGAGAAAGGACTAAATAAATTCCCAATGGCTAGCCAAAAACTGTGAATTGCAACCCATCAAAGCTGCTTAGTAACACATTGAGTAAAGGTGGAGGCAGGTAGCAAGGAAAGTAATATGTCAACTAACAAATGAGCATTTTCGAGCTCTTGCCATGCCTATTAGGAAATAATTCTGTTTTCAACAGCATTTCCATTTTTGTCTCTATTGTATTGACTGTTCAACTATTTTTATTGCATTTTCCTTTTTATAAATAATGGAAAATAAATATTAATATTTTGTGATGAGGGACTATAAATCTAATAGAATTGAGACACAACGGGGAATCATTAAGTTTAACTTAAGTAGCGAATCCTCGGCCAGAGTTAGATGCTCATAAGAGGAAAGTCAGTTCAGCTGTGTCCCATTGTTAGGAAAAAGAATAACATTTAAAAAATTTTTTTAATTCCATAAATAATTTCATCAAAAACTGCTTCTAGGGGCCAGGCCGGTGGCGCAAGCAGTTAAGTGTGCGCACTCTGCTGTGGCAGCCCGAGGTTCGCCGGTTCGGATCCCAGGTGCGCACCGACGCACTGCTTGGCAAGCCATGCTGTGGCGGCGTCCCATATAAAGTGGAGGAAGATGGGCATGGATGTTAGCCCAGGGCCAGTCTTCCTCAGCAAAAAAAAAAAAAAAAGAGGAGGATTGGCAGATGTTAGCACAGGGCTGATCACCTTACCACAAAAAAAAAAAAAACTGCTTCTAGAAGACAAGGTGCAATTGAGGATTTTACATAGTTTTTAGCTCTCAGAATGGAATATCTCCCCTTAGACAGTAATTTGAATGTTTGGCTTCTTAAGAAAAGACAGAAATGCCGATTCTTTTTCTGAGATTTATTAAGAATACTAATAGCAATGGGAAATTCTCTGGCTTGTTTGATACTACACTTCTCCATACCATAAACATGAGATTGAGCTTCAAAAATATAATTTCTTACTCTTTCTTTTTAGATTAAAGTTGTGGATCCAAAAACAAAAAACTGTACAACATTGGCCGGAACTGGAGATGCAAGTAACGTTATCAGTTCCAGTTTTACTGAGTCAACGTTTAATGAACCAGGAGGCCTGTGTGTTGGAGAGAATGGTCAGTTACTATACGTAGCAGACACCAATAATCATCAAATTAAAGTGATGGATTTAGAAACAAAAATTATTTCTGTGGTGAGTAATCGTGAGGTATAAGTTAAAGGATATCATTTTAAGAAAGAGACTGAGATCCTCGCAGCGCTGACAGATGGCTAGGCCATCTCTAGTGGTGAAAGCGAAACGGGGAGGTGGAGGAGTAAGTGAGTGCCTATTTCAAGGGTATCCTGTTATTTTTAAAATAAAAATTCCATTTGTGCCAAGAGTGTTTGAGAAAGATACTGGAAGTTGGATAGAATTTAACAAACTTTTGGAAAAGGAAAAAAGAAAAGGAGTCAGATCTGTTTTTACATGTGTAGACACAGTGACACACACATCTTGTGGGTTGGATTATTTAGTCTTATTATTTTTTTAATGATCCTTAGATTAGTGTGTAATCTTTGTTTCCTATAGTGAATCTATTACCAAATAATTTTCGAAAGGAATCTCTAGAAACCACATTTCTCAAGACATGGGAAATAAGATTAGAAGAAACTTAAATAAATTCTAATCAATTTTTAAAGATATGGACATGGTCTCTAATAAAACTTTCAAGCTAACCCTTGATGTATCACACTTGCCTGAAAAAAATGCAAGAGTTGTTTTTCTAAAATTCTAGGAATTTCCATGATATGTTTTCAAAAGAAAAACACAGATTGCCGTCGTGACGTTAATGTCATTTCTCTTGACATAGATCTCTGATATAAGATGAATGACATCTTCTAGTTGGCAATGAAAATTATAAGAGAATGTGTATTATATCGACTACATTTAAATTGGTAAAGTTTTACTTTAATTTCCTGCCATCCATAAACATTGGACAATTAATTCTTTTTCATTCGTAAGTGTTGGTACTGTCTTTGCCAGGATGAAATATTTTTCTGAACCTACAAAATAATTATGAGGACATCTAAGTAAATACATTCTGATTCAGAGTAGATGGCAATTGTTTCATTGACATAGAACCTCATTTTTCTTCTGAAGTCTGAAATAAGCTTTCTTACTCTGTAATTACTGTGAAGTACATGTGTTTTAATAAACAGATTTTCTTATTTCCTAGCTCCCAGTCTTCAGATCTGAAAATGCTGTGGTAGATGGTTCATTCCTAGAAGATAAACAGAAGACATTACCCAGACTACCTAAATCTGCTCCACACGTTCAACTCTCCCCAGTGGCTGCGTCTCCAGGACAGACTCTTCAGTTCAAGCTAAGATTAGACCTCCCATCAGGAGCAAAACTAACTGAAGGAGTACCCAGTTGCTGGTTTCTAACAGCTGAAGGTATGAGAATAATCTTGCAAATGCAAATATTCCATAAATTCTTGATGTTTAACCTAGTAATTTTTCTCATTTGTTGTGTGAAATTTTCACTCTGTAGTTGGGCAGGATTTGAGGGAGGTCCTGTGAAAAAATAGATGCAGATCTAACACCACTTTAACAGTTTTCTTTAGTCTTTGAGATCCTTTCCTCTCTTTTATCAAAGAACAGTGTAGCTCACCCAAAGTTACTTGATCATAATTGCCCTATTTTCTATTAGGCAAGTCCATCACATAAGGCAGACTGCCATAGTCTCAGAATGATAGGTTAGAGCTGAAAGACACCATCTATAAAAACCTCTTCTTTTATAAGTGAGGAGACTAATGGCTCAAAAAGATAAAGTGATTTGCTCAAGGGTATATATTGAATTAGGTTAGGTCAAACTGGAGTTTGACCCCAGTTCTGCTAGTTCTTAGTCTAGTGTCTTTTCCATTGTGCTGCTCCATCTCAAACTAGCTCTAAGGGTATTAGCCCTAAAAATGACATTAATTTTTTAAAAAATACATAAAAAATGCAAGCCACCAATTACACATTTGGATGTTATAAAAGTTTCTAAACCTTACTGTCGATTTCGGTACTTACCTCATCGTGGGTTGTGGACCAGCACCAGTCCACGGACTATACTTTGAGTGGCACTGTTCTAGAGCACTCCAACATCAAGAGATCAAGGAGAGGAGGAGGAACCAGCCAAAAGACTGAAGAGTGAATAAGCAAGTAGGAGCAAAACCAAGAGAGGGTGGTTCCCTGGGGCCACAAGTTTTAAGGAGGAGAGAGTGATCAGCTGTGTCAAGTGCTGTTGATAGCTAAGGAATGAGAATTTAATGTTATAGAGTTGATGTCCTTGACCAGAGCCGTTTCAGAGTGATGGAGGAGATGGCTGATTAGAGCAGGTTAAACAAGAATAGAAGGAGAGGAACTGGAGAAAGCAAATATAGACAGCTCTTTCAGGAGTTTAGCTAAAAAGATAAGAGAAAATAGAGCAATTGCTAGAAGGGGAAAGTGGAGTTAAGAGAACAGCATGTTTGTTATATTGAGGGCAAAGATCCAATAGAGAAAAGAACAGATGATATGTGGTGGGGGTGGGTATCCCTTAGGATATGAGGGGATGGGCTCTAGTACATAAGTGGAAGGCTGGCCTGTGCCAGGAATGTGGACATTTCCACAGTAAGGAGAGAAGGCCCGGTGTGTGACCCAGAAGTCTAGATGGGCAGGCTGTGGAGGTAAGTGCTGTGGAAGCTCTTTTCTGGATGCTTCTGTTTTCTTAGTACATTGGGAAGCATGGCCATCAGCTGTGAGGGGAGAAGGTTTTGGACGTTTGAAGAGAACAGAGGGTCATCCAGGAGGGTAGGAGCGTGACTACACGAGGAAAATAAAGTGTGATTGCTGAACAGCCTGCAGGCTGCCCTTGAGGCTAGCTATCACCAGCTGAAAGTCAGGCGAGTCCACGTGGAGGCAGTTTTTCTTCAGCCCAGTTTAGCCACAAGGGTGCAGTCTGTGTGGGTAGAGTATGGACTGAGTTGCGTTAATCAGCAGGTCTGCTGCAATGCCAGGTAATGATCCATCAGCTGAGGTGTCTGGGGGTCCAGATCTTGTATTAATTGTGTTTACTACTATACCTTCCCACAATACAGTGATAGAAATCTCAGAGATTCTAAAGAATTAAATTGATTTTCCCCTTGAGTATGATATTCTTTTAAAAGCATATGCTTTCTTTTACCTGAGGTAACTTGCTTGACATAGGCTCTCTCCAACTCAGTTCTTTGGTGGTTTTATTTATTATTATCGTTTACTTGTCCAGATAGTGTCTATCAAATGCTTTAGAGCTTTCGTGTAGTTGCTGCTCGTTTGAGTGCAGTAGTATCATTAGGGCTTGATTTACCACTTATTAAGCCTGAAGCTGCAGTTTCTTCTTTCAAGATGCCAGAAGTAGAATTTGAGCCCCATTACTTGCTTACTACAAGAAAATGGATGCCAAAGCCATATCTTAAAATTATGCCATTCAGGTGGAAGAAGAAAACATTGCTGGAAGATGTGTAATTGAATACAAATGAATTATAATGTGATCAGTCTCCAGGCAGAGCCTTTGTCTTCTCTCACTGATTTGTGATCTTTTAAGAACACTCCCTGTTTGAGTCTATTGTCAAAAGTATTGAGTTACTATAAGTTATGTAGAGATTTGAATGTGTGTTTGAATCATAGTGTGAACTTATTAATTTATAAGGATTCAGTATACCGCTTGCCTCATAGCAGTGCTTTCCAACATCTCTAGCAGAATGGACAACAATTTTAGAGTAAAATGTTAGTGGTCCAGGACTAAATTCTGACTTCCCTTCTCTACTGATCTTCCTCTGTCATAGTCTCCCACGCTCTTTCACATGTTCTCCCTCAGTTTTTCATTTCCTGCCCGACTCCTCCTCCCTCATGCCCTCTCACACACTTTTCTTTTGTACGTTACCCAGATCCCGGCTTTATGCCTTCTTCCCTTGGTACATTCTCAGGGCAGCAGCTACTGTCCTGCAACTACCCACTTGGTATCCACACCCAGAGAGCAGAGAGATCTTGGTAGACTAGTCAGGAGGAGGCTGCTGGGTTAGAGTTTGGGAGGCTGGCTGTGGAGTGATTGACTGAGCCTGTGGGGAAACCACCCCCACCTACTCCCCACAAGGGAGAGGGCTGAGCCGTGCAGTACCAGGAGGATGTTCACAGCTAGCTTGGTGGACAGGAGAGTGCTCAAATCCCAGCCGTTCCTCAGTCCTCTGTAGGTTCAGAGAAAGTCCTCGACTGCCAGTTTAACTATTCTGTCTACATCCATTAGTCTGAAAGCATTGCATCGATTGGAGATCACTGTTAATTTAATTTCTATGTATGAAATTAAAGAGCAGTGTATTGATTTTTAAAATAGGGTATTGACAGATTAACATGTTTAACTGTCAAATGCAAATTAATTGATATTGAGTCATTAGAATACAAAATATAGATAGTATTAAAGGAAAAGTGAAGTAGTCTACAGGAAAAATTCTTAGCTCTTTTATCACTTGTCTGAGGTATTGACTCCATTTTTACTGTATAGAGGCAAATAAGCTTTCAGGCAAGAATCCTAATAATTTAAGGTTTTTGAAAATTATTTTTTTAGAGTACATTTGTAAACCTATGATTAAATGACATTTTTTCTTCTTGGCCAGTTATTTAGAGACAGAAACACTTATTTTTAACTACATTTTGATCTATATAATCTTAAAGTTGTCAGCATATGTGAAGGTGTTAAGCCAAAAAAAAGGCAACATAAAAGCACCACTAGCGTATTATAAATTCACAAATCCCACCTATGATGTATCTGAAAAATATCTAAAGAAACATTTTCTTTGTTTTATTTCTAGAATTGGACATTAAAATAGCACAATTTATTATTTTCCTGATTTGATTTAAAATATAAGCAGTTCCCCACTAATCTTCTATTTAGCAAGATCAAACATTAAATAAAATAAAACATCCTCCTCAGTGCAGAAATAAGCAAAGAAGTCCAAAGAATTTTAAAGAGAATTTTTAAAGAGCTGTTTAAACCTCCTACATATAAGCTCTGTACTTAACTCTAGATTGTCACCTTCACCTTCTCCTTCCTCTTATTTGACATATTTTTCTCAAATTTCATTTTTCAACCAACAGAATATTAGAAGCAGTAAACTAGGAGAAGTGGAGAGGACCAGCAGAAGCAGCTGCCTGAGTCTGTTGACTCATCCTAAGGTCGAAAAAAAAAGCCAGAAAAACTAAAAAGTAGACATAGAATTTCATCACTACTCAATAATGGTCTATTTTTTGTCCAGGTGGCCCCGAATCATTGATATGTCATTAGATTATGTTCAGTGTTTTCTATTTAAAATGGCAGGAAAGCATGTCCTGCATTTCCTGAATGCCAGCTCTTGATATGTAACCCCTTCTAAAGCTAATGTCAGTGTAAGTATGTGCTTCCTCAATATGACACGGGTGTTCCTTCTGAGAGAAGGCACTGATGAATAAAGACATTTAAAAATTTTTAATACTAGCAGTCTAAAGGTTTTTAGTGGTTTATTAGACTTTTGTTATATAGATAATCTATGTATTTAAGTCTTGGAAGAGTTTTATGTATCAAAGTGAGGTAGACAAAAATCTCTTAGTTTTTACGTTGTTTTACGTTGTTGGAATTATGCAGTGTTAGTTGTTTCTAAAAAAGTGTTGTTTTTTGATTATTACCTTTGGATATTCAGTAAAGTTCATCATTATCTTAACTTGAAAGTCACTGCAGAGTTGTACATAATGTTTGTATTCCCTAGATTGTTTTATGGTTTTCATATTATATTCCTGAACACTTTTATCTGGTAAAAATGATCTATTTTCTGAAGCATCCTCTGTTTATTTCTAGAACTTAATAGATTTCATTTTTAATTTCAGGGATTAGGGATCTGTAACCATATTTGCAATATTCAAGTTGATTTCAATACACACAAACTTATAATTTATCTTACAGTGTTCAAAGGAAGAATTTTAATAATTTGATATCAAGATCATTAGACTAGGAACTTCTCATGGGTCTTAATATAGCCTATTTATATTTATGTCCTTCACACAGAGCATAATGCCTGGCAGTTAGAGGCTTTCTGTAAATATCTGTTAATTGAATGAATCTAGTCTTCATAACGTTTGTCTCATTACCTACCCGTCTAATAGTCTTACTAATTTACCTTTTTATTTGCTAGGCAATGAATGGCTTCTTCAAGGACAGATACCATTTGGAGAAATAGAGAGCATTTCCAATCAACCAACAATCTCACTACAGATTCCTGGAGATTGTGTATCTCTTGAAGCCGTTATATCTGTCACCGTGTTTCTTTATTACTGTAGCGCAGACAGCAGTGCCTGTATGATGAAGGGAATTTTGTTCAGTCAGCCTTTACGAGTAACCGATACACAGCAAGGTTGCAGAGCTCCCGTAGAGCTCAAATATGTATTTTAGCAAGCAGTCTAGCAACTCAGTCGCCACAGCCGCCTGTTCTCCATCCTTACCATCGCTGTAACTTATGAAAAGAAACTTCATTTCTGCCTCTGGATTCTAAGAAAATCATTGCTGAGTTCTAGTGACTGATATTAAAGTAAAACTATGCTCCTTATTTATTTATTATAGACAAATTCCTTCATTCTGGCTGTGTACCAGCTAAGTCATTGACCATTATTTGAACCATGATTTTGTAATCTATGCTGCTATTTGGCACAAGACGTTAAGTCCACACTATAGTATAGAATATTATCATGAAATAATTTGCAGTGAATACTGATAACAATAATGATACCAAATATTTTAACTAACTTTTTCTACCTTTGTTAATTGTGAGCAGCACATTTGAATGTGTAAATTTCACAATAACCTTAAACAGAACCTAAGATCCAGTCCACATGTTGGTATAAGGACACCTGCCATTCAAGGCATAAGGTCTGTTTTAAGCCAAGAAAAAGAAGTCTTCATCACAGTATAAGTTTAAAAGAGTACCTAGGTGGTAAATATGTTCGTTGTTCTCTTCTGCAATTTTCTCAGTTGAGATATATTTAAAAGAGAATTTCAGTCTATTTTTATTACAAATTATTTACTATTTTAACATACCATTATTAATGCCTTATAACTCTGTATAGAAAAAGTTAGAGTCTCTCAGGACATACATACTCACTTCTTTGACTTTTTTCTGAATGAACACAGTCTTACCAGATGATGAATGAGTCCCCAGAAATATTATGACTTTCAAGGAGAAAGGGACTGAGGGAAACATTACTGTCTGTGATACTATTTAACAATAAAGAATTAATTGTGACAGCTGAATCTGATGTAAATGGATATGTATGTTGTTTTAGAAATTTACATTTCACCTGTAAGAATTAAATGCAGATTCGTTGGGTTTTGGTTTTTTTTGGTTCCCATATTCAGAATTTAAATCATGATCATTTATTGTGATGTTTTTGAAAGTCATTTTTAAGCCTTCAAAGTGAAAATTTCAATGTGAAGCACTTTCATGGCGTTAATATGTATAGTATATCCTAATATATTGCTCTTTAAATATTAAGGCTGAAATATACAGTGACTTGATGACACTGTTTCGGGGGGTTTTTTAAAACTCCAAAAGAAATAGCTACTAGAAGATATTGAAAGTTTTTTTATCATAAGTTTTCTTTATAACTATTTAAAAGCCTATTCTTGATTTTACTAAAACTGATTCAACGTTTGTGATTTAATCAGCTTACAAGGTTTTAAAAACATCAAGTGAGTCATATTTATTGAATAAATATTTATAGACGATACACCATAAGATGCCTTCCCCTCCTTCAAAAACAATGCTAAATTTGAAGTGTAATCTTTTAAGCATCATCATCTGCCCATTTCTTGATATTTTTTTGAAATATAGTTTTGAACATACTATTTGCTTCTTTTATTCAGGTTCCCTAAGTCTCTGAAGTAGGGAAATGCATTGATCATGACTTTCATTTAATTTGTAACCTGCTAAAGCTATTTTTAGAGAGAAGTATAAATGTCACGTTAAAAGGAATCCTGTTTAAAATTATATATAATTACCTCATAAACCTTTTCTCCCCACAAAAAAAAATGTGTTGTTCTGTAATAAAAGGATGTATGACATTAATATTCTCTTTTATGGAGAATAGGCTGTAGTCATTTTTTAATCTCATTTGATTATTATACTTCTCATTTCCAGTTGGACAGGATGAGAATATTTTGGCTTAATCTTCTCCTATTTAAGGACATAAACAGTTTCACTCTCTAAAGGAAGTGTGCATAAAGGAAGTGTATATATGTTGCTAATTCAGAAATACTTGATCATTAATTTTTCAATATTATACACAAACACATACAGTATGTATTTTCATGTACATTAAAAATCCAAGGTTATTTCTTATAATCTATTAATAGTCCCTTTGGACAGTTTTTGGTTAGTATTAAGCTTATACTTTTCTTGACTTTCAAAGTACAGTTTTATTGAACGTTCTCATTCTTACCTAGCCACCAGATTGCATTGTTTACATTCAAAATATTATTTACATGGATTAGTAGGATTTTTTGTAAATCGTACTAAAGCAATATAAATAGGTCCTAGAATTTATGACTAACATAAACCTCTTACATAAGAAGAAGCACTAGAAAGTTTATTTTGAAAAACTTTATCCTTGTCTGCCTTCTGTTTTCTAAAAGGACTTCTGTATATTTTTAACTTTTGCTTTTCTTCATGCATAAAGCATTATATCCAGTGATAGTTTAAAAAGAGTAAGGTTTTAGTGTAAGTCACCTTAATCAAAGTGCCAGTAATGTGGCATTACACACACTTTGACGTAATACCTAGAATCTTGGCCCTAAATTATTCTCCTGCTTTGTTGCTTTTTTCGGCACTATTTGTGGTATCATTTCACAAATAGAATTTTTTTTTTCTGAGTTTATACTCAGGATTGATATGATCCCTGAAAAGAATTTTGCTTGTCTTGCAGATGCTGTCTCAAGCAAATATTTAACCTATTCACTTTATAGTTTAATCACCTGTTAAGTGTAGCTTTGGCAAAGTTCAATGACTAAAATTTGGCAAAGTTCAATGACTAAAAGTTCTCTCCTTAACTGTTCTAATGATATATGTAGTTATAGTATTATAAGGCCTGCAGAAAGCTATAAATCTTAACAGCCAAAAGAAGGTTGAATATCTGTGGATGAGTGTATGTGTCTATGTATATATGTATGTGTGTATATATATAAGACAGATACAAAGATCAAGTCAAGGATTTCTCCCATAAGTTTCTCTTATGGCCAATATACTTTTGAGCTAATAACACTGAGTTACTCTCTGCTTGTTTTTCCATAGTTGGAATATTTGAGAAGATATTGAAAATATATATCTCTGTAATATAATTTTCTGCTTGCACAAAATCTACCGTTTGTTTATATCTGCCAATTAAAAAGACTTCAGTGTAGCCATTACATTTGGCTTTATGTTTAAGAACAATCATCAAAAACTAAATTCCATAATTCATAGTTGCATAAAAATATATGCAGAGGGACTCTGTCAAAGGTGGTTCTCCTGAATGGTGGAATTATGGATATTTTTATTTTAATTCTACTTTTCTGTATTTTTTTTTCAGTGAGCCATGTGTTATTTTCCCAAAAAAAAAAACACAACGGGAAATGTTTTTTAAAGATTTAAAATGAACTGAATAGTAAGCACTTATATATATATAGTAGCTCTTGTAAAGTCGGTTTTATTACCAAACATCAGAACGTAGTTTGGAGCTCTTTGATCTACTAGTTCTCTTACGTATGTGATTGGGTGAAGGCAGAAGTGATGATGGCTTTTTCTTCTGGTGTTTTCATTGTGTAATGTGGTGTGGTGGTGAAGAGCAGGGGCTCTGCAGTCGCTTGGTACCCCTCATGGGGTTGGTTTAAGGATTCAATGAAATTGTGTTTGTAAAGCATTTAGTAATTAATGAAACTGCTAGTTATTGCCTTAGTTAATAGTAATGATAATTTATGACCATAAACACATGGCTTGACATTTTTATTGCAACTTCAATTTCTAAAGGAAACTGTTTCTCTACCAACTATTTGATATGTTAATACTGTCCATAGAGTTGGGATTCAAGACGAGAAATACAGTTGCATAATAAAGCATATTACTATTTTATAAACGATATTATTTATAAAGAAGCATACCTACGGGTTTATTAAAATTTTTTAAAAAGACCTTCTGGAACTATGAATAATAAACTTCCTCTGAGAGGGTCCAGACATACTCATCCTGAGTCACATTCCTATACTATACTCTGGTGGTGCTTCACAAAATCTTCCAAGTGCCTTCATGCATTTTTGCCTCATGAGCTTCAGAGTAACCTTATGAATCAGACAAGTAGATGTTATGTCCGTTTTACAGATGAGGAAACAGCTTTAGAATGTTGGTGACATGTGTAATGATCAGAGCTCCAAGAATAATGCCTGATGCTAAGCAGGGCCTGGCATAAGCAGTTGCTCAGCCAATTTTGTTGAGTGATTGAAGGATGAATAGTGAGTGATGGGTCTTTTATTTGAACACAGGTCTCCTGATTCCTAGCTCTACTCCTAGATGTAGAGTAAAAACAAACTGCAGAATAAAAGACTTACTCTCTTTTCTGAATGCTTTTTAAGCCTTTGCAGTATTTAAATAAAGTAATAAGAATAGCTAAATTTGTTGAGTGCTTACTATGTGCCTGGCACTTTTCTAAGTGGTTTATATGTATTAACTATTTAATCCTCACACATCTTATGAGGGAGGTACTATTTTTTCTTATTTCCCTGCTGAGGAAACAGACTCAAAGTTCAGTTATAAGCAGTTACACCCGCGTAATCAAGATCACGCATTTAGGAAATGGCCCAGCCTGGATGAGTCTGCTCAACGACCATGCTACATTGCCTCAAAGCAGTTTTCTTAAAAACATAAATCTTTCATAGTTATATATAGTAACTATTCTATCCAAAGAACCAAACAAGTCCTAGTGATGATTGTTTTTGAAATTTAAATTAAATCCATTTAATTACATTAGCCTTTTGGACTTTTCATTATACATGCTTATCCTTCAGGGTTTGGAACAGTCTGTATAATTGTTTCCCAAAAGATTTTGTGTAACATTCTTTGTTAAATTCAGATTTTATCCAGAGTTTTTCTTGGCAGATGGATGTATTAAAGAATTAAATAGCTTTTCAGTGTTAGTTCCAACAATGCTATTTTTAATTGGTCTTCAAAAGGTAATTATAAGACCTTGTCATAAAGTGTAACTGAATTCTTAGGGACAGGACTGTCTCAGACCCTGAAAAACTTATTCATATTTAAGAAAATTTTGTTTTAATAACCAAAGTGAGCTCTAGGGACATAATATTTGGCCAATCTGTTAACACACCTAAAGTCCTCTGCTTACTTGCTTTATAAATAACACTGAGGTATGTGGACCCTCCACAGTGACTTAAATATATGCAATTCTATTGTAGTCAAGTTTTCACCAGGTCAGCCTATTATTCCAGCTTTAGGTACTACTAAAAGGAGTGAAGTAAGATGCTATGTACTGCTGATTATGATTCATGATCATCTAGGTACAAGAATGTAAACATCTTTTCATTGTTAAATAGTTTGCTGACTTAAATAACGTTATTAGAATTTGTTATAAAATCTCATTCCTGAAATCCATAAGGAAATGTACATCAACTTAAAAATGTAATAATAATGTCATACTTTAGAAATAGAATTCACTGTTAATCACTAAGATTTCCTCCTTTTTCTCCTATGGCACATACATAGTTTATTTTAATGAAGAATTCTCACTAATATAAGTCACTATATTATCCTGAATAATTAAGTTTGCCTTTTTCCCATCTCCTTGCAATAGGGTAGTATAAAGAATGATATTAAAAGTTAGCGACTTGCCTAATCTGCCTATATACCATGACCGACAAACCTTGCACATAGCAGACGGCAGGTTAGACTGGCTGCTTCTGGCTCTCAGGCTGCCCGTCTGACCACAGAGGGCCTGGGCGAGGTGGAGCAGAACGCAGCGCTGGTCAGCTCCTCTGACTGCACCCCTTCCATGTCTTAGCGTGCTGATTTGGTTTAATTATTTTCAAAGGTTAGAGTTGGAAAATGAAAACCCTAGATACTTGTTGTGGAATGTTTGCCTAGTTGTTATACTTATTCATTGTTTGGTGTGTCCCTCTTCTTCGCTGGCGTGTCACTCTCAAGTGTACCAAAGGACGTTTTGTTCTGTTGAAAGCCCAAGACCAAAAGGAAAGAATCGCAAGTATTTCCGGATATGCTTCCCATATACTAAAAAGCACTAAACAAGCACAAAGGAGCACTGAACAACCATAGCCTCAAAAGCATTTTTGTAACTGTCAAGGCATGGTATGAATTCCTTGCCCTTTACCAGCAACTTAGAGACCTGCTGTTTTTCAGTCATGCAGAGTTAAGCAAAACTGTCAGATTTTTTTAATGTTGCAAATTTGAAGCTATGTAGATGGACAAACAGGATTTATTACCTTTTGCTTTTAATACACTTGGTTACGTACTTAACGTTTGAAATAAAGTGAAGTGAGCCCTCATAATTCTAAGAAGTAGAGAAAAAAGTCAGTCCCCAGGTTTACATGTGCCCAGTTTCAGCAGTTTTTATGATTCTTTATGTGCTATCCTCATGAAAAATATTATGTTATTAATGTATATAAGGCAAAACATTAGTTGATAAATTATGGTAATTAAGGGTAAAAATAGAGATGCTCCTTTCTGAAAATGTAAGACTGCTGTATAACTATCTTCTATTTTTAGAAATTGTAGTCATTATTCTTAGTCCCACCATAAATACATTCATTCTGTGAGCATGTGCAGGATGGGCTACCTGTTGTGTTCATTGCACTATTCAAAATGTGAACACCTTTTTGTTTGTGAAGAGTTGGAATGTACTGTTCATGCATGCCTGTGATATTCGTTGTCCAAATTTACCTGTAAAAAATGTATTACCACTCCTCTCCACTCCT